GTTTTTCTTCTTTTTCAGGCTCTCTTCCCCCCCCCCCCAAATAAACATGGGCACTGTGCAATGAATGAGTCTCCATTGCAAATCAGGGATCACTGAGATTCAACTAACACCGGGGTAGGCAACCTTGGCTCTTTTATGACTTGTGGGCTTCAACTCCCAGAATTCCTGAGCCAGCATGGCTCAGCTTGGAAACTTCTCCCTTTCCCCTCAGCATGGCTGGCTCAGGAACTCTGGGAGTTGAAGTCCACGACTCATAAAAGAACCAAGGTTGCCTACCCCTGCACTAACACATCCCTCTCCATTGGGCATACTGGCTGGGCAGTGGCAGATGGTAATGTTGCCCATCTGGAAAAGTCCCCAAAGATGCTTTTTTTTTTTTTTTTCCCAAAAGGCAATTGGACTTAGGGGCTGTTTTTTTTTAAGACATTTAGCTTCTCATCCAAAAAATGTCTTCAAGGAAAAACAAAGCCCAGTTGCCTTTTGGTTCCCCCAAAGCACCTTTGGGACAACCACGGCCTGAATGACTGAGAATCTCCATAACCATCTGGAAAAGAAAGAGGTGTTTGCACCCATTACACTTACAGTATAGGTCAGGGGTAGGCAACCTTGGCTCTTTTATGACTCGTGGACTTCAACTCCCAGAATTCCTGAGCCAGCTACGCTGAGGAGAAAGGGAGAGGTTTCCAAGCTGAGCCATGCTGGCTCAGGGATTCTGGGAGTTGAAGTCCATGCATCATAAAAGAGCCAAGGTTGCCTACCCCTAGTATAGGTAGTCCTCAATTTATAACAATGGAGCTGTTGCTAAGCAAGACACTTGTTGTTTTGCCCCATTTTACAACCTTTCTTGGCAGAGTTGTTAAGCGAATCACTGCAATTGTTTAGTTAATAACACAGCCGTAAAGTGAATTTGACATCCCCATTGACTTTCCCCATTGAATTTGATCACGTGACCCCGGAAACTGCAACCGTCATAAATATGAGCCAGTGGCCAAGTCTCTCAACTTTGATCACATGACCCCTGGGAGGCTGCGATAGTCATAAATGTGAAAAACGGTCATAAGTCATTTTTTACAGTGCCACTGTAACTAACAAACTGCTGTAAATCAAGGACTACCTGTAGAAGAGCTAAGACACATCAGGTGAGTGATGGGAATCCTTAGCAGCTAAGGCTTAGCTGCATTGTTGATTTTTGCCCTTCCTTCCGCTGGGTTTACTATTTTATTTCTTTGCGGTTTTTGATGCTGGATGCAATTCTAGAATTTTGGCCTTGTGGCTTATCAGAAGTGACACAGTATCTCCACACTGTAATTTATTGTTTTGCAGAAATTCTCCACACTGGGGTGGGGAGGAGTTGGTGCCAAGGTCCTTCTTGACTTCTCTGTTTAACTCTGTCGTTTCTGAGCCTTTCTTGGCAGGTCCCTAAACAATTCACTGGGAAAGAGAGGGCTGGCTTGATCAACTGAGTGAATAATAATAACTACTACTACTACTACTGAAGAAGAGAAACTAGAAACAAAAATTAAAATAAGCAAGAAAATGGCAAGAGAACACCTATCCGACCTTGACGAATATAAATCACCGGGACCCAACAGATTACATCCCAGAGTTCTGAAGAAGCTGGCAGATGTTATCTCAGAACCATTGCACCACATCTTTAAAAAATCCTGGAGCACGGGAGAAGTACCTGAGGATGGGAAAAGGGCCGGATGTGGTTCCCATCTTCAAGAAAGGGGGAAAAAACAGACCCAGGAAACTACAGACCAATCAGTTTAACATCAATACCTGGGAAGATCCTGGAAAAGATAATCAAAAAACAGATCTGCGAACAACTAGAAGCTAACAAAGTTATAACCGGTAGTCAGCAGGAGTTTGTCAAAAACAGATCATGCCAAACCAATCTTATTTCATTCTTCGATAAAGTGAATAAACTAGTAGACCAGCAAAACGCTGTGGACATAGTATACTTAGACTTCAGTAAGGCATTTGACAAAGTAGACCACAACCTGCTGCTTAACAAGCTATAAAAAGGTGGGATAGACAACAACACCATCAGATGGATCTGTAGCTGGCTGACAAACCGTACTCAGCGATTAGTCCTCAATGGTACTACATCCACATGGAGAGAAGTAAGCAGTGGGGTACCACAAGGCTCCATCTTAGGCCCAGTACTCTTCAATATCTTCATCAATGACTTAGATGAGAGAATTGAAAGGAAACTCATCAAACTAAACTGGCAGGAATAGTCAAAACCCCAGAAGACAAGTTCAGGATCCAAAAAGATCTTGACAAACTCGAACAATGGGTTCTATCCAACAAAATGAGTTCTACTGTGGAGAAAAGCAAAGTTTTAAATTTAGGCAGAAAACATCAAAGGTTTAAGTACAGATTAGGCAAGACCTCGCTCAAAAACAGCAACTGTGAGAGGGATCTTAGAGTCCTACTGGACGATCACTTGACTATGAGCCAGCAGTGTGCAGCAGCAGCCAAAAAAGTTAATACAATCCTGGGTTATATAAACAGAGGCGCAGAATCAAGATAATGCGATGTATTAGTACCGCTTTAGACCACACCTGGAATTCTGCAACCAATTTTGGTCACTGTACTACAAAAAAGATGTTGAGACCTTGGAAAAAATTCAGAGAAGAGCAACTAAAATGACCAAAGGCCTGGAAACTAAAACATATGAAGAACGACTGCAGGACGTGGGTTTGGCTAGTCTAAAGAAAAGAAATACGGCTGACATGATAAGCAGTACTCCAGTATTTGAGAGGCTGTCACAAAGAAGAGGGGGTCAAATTATTCTCCAAAGCACCAGAGGGCAGGACAAGAAACAATGGTTGGGAACTGATCAAAGAGAGAAATAACCTGGAATTAAGGAGAAAGATCTTAACAGTGAGGACAATTAACTAGTGGAACAGCTTCCCTTCAGAAATCAAGGGCGCTCCATCACTGGAGGTTTTTAAGAAGAGACTAGACAGTTACTTATCTGAAATGGTATAGGTTCTCCTGCTCGAGCAGAGGGCTGGACTAGAAGACCTCCAAGTCCCTTCCAGCTCCTATTCTATTCTATTCTATTCTATTCTATTCTATTCTATTCTATTCTATTCTAATTTGGAAAGGACCTTTGAGGTCTTCTAGTGAGAAATGAATGTGATGTCAGTGGTGGCGAACCTATGGCACGCGTGCCAGAAGTGGCACTCAGAGCCCTCTCTGTTGGCGCGTGCACCACCACCAGCAGCAGATCCATCAGGACGCCACCGCTGCCCGGACCAGGAGCCCCACCCAACACAAAGGAGGCAAAGCAGGCTCGAGTAGAGGTGGTAGAGCAGAGCTCACCAACCATTCTTGGACTGGAAGAAAAGGGAAGGGGAAGCATTTTGCACTGCAAATGGGGTGGGGCTAGTGCCTGCGTGATACTCACTAGGCCTGCCCCGTTCTTGCCTGATGCAGCACCTTGTATCTGCACCCCTAAGTGCGGCGGTGGCCGTTTTTGCACCTTGCAGCATGGTGGCCCATTTTCACGCCACCCAGTTTTGCATACCAGAGGCGGCACTCAAAGGCGCCTCCATGCCCCCCCCTGAGGGCACCACAATGCTGATGCAGCCCTGGCACTTTGCGATAAATAAATGGGTTTGGGGTTGAGGTTTGGGCATTTGGTCTCTAAAAGGTTCGCCATCACTGTGATGTTAGAAGAAGAATGATATACATTAATTAATTGATACTATTTATGATTAGCATTTATTACACTTATTACAGTTACTTATTACAATATCAACTATTGTTAACATATGTACCCAGACAATAGTCTGTTTGCTAAAGGTTGAAAATGCTATTGGGGGATAACCCCAATGTCGACTCCAACCCGCCCCCCACAACACCAATCCTGATTCCAACCCCACCCTAAACCTTAATCCCTATTCTATTCCCAACCCTATAAAACTCAATAACATTCTGTTTAAAAAAAAAGATGCATTTGCTAACGGCAGCGTTGTAGTAGAAAAATAACAGAAACAAAACAGAGTAGTTATGTGTGAATCATAAGAAATAGGAATTACTTCGGAAGTGTTTCTGTTCAGCTGCTGGTTTGGATATGATGAAAATTATTGAATTGCATTCTTTAATTAAAAAAGGTGGAAGGAGTAAGTAAAGTCAATAGGGCAGTGGTGGCGAACCTATGGCATGCGTGCCAGAGGTGGCACAAAGAGCCCTCTCTGTGGGCACACGCACCATGCCCTGGAGATGGTAACTGTCCCTCTTCAACCAGCCGCCTGCTAACTTGCCAAGTCCCACATGGCCGGATGCATCCCAGCATGGCTGGTTTCCCTCCCCCCCTCCCATGCTCTCCTTTTCCCGGGCACGACCCTCTGCATCGGCTCCTCAGCTGTCAGCTGGCCGTCCAGCTCAGAGGCAGCTTCTCTGAACTGCTAGCAGCAGGCTTCGGAGCCCCAGAGTGTGTCGGTCGACGGGCCGGCAGACTGTGGCTGCTGACGGACACTGTCGGCCCCCATGCGCTTGCTGGCCTCTGTGCGCGGGGGCCAATGGTGTCAGGCAACAGCCGCCCCGGCCCCTGCCTCATCTTGCCCTGTGACAATGGCAGCCCCACCCTGCCTCACCTTGCCTCACCTCACCCCGCAGGATGAGCCTCCTGCCCACCGCCCCACCTGCCAGAGACCCCCTGGATCTCCCCCAACCCTGCCCAGCCCCCACAGGCGTCCCTCCCCACAAGAAACATTGAGGTGATCACACCCACCTTGGCCACACCCACCCAGTCTGCCATGACCACCACAGCCATGCCCATCCAGTGGGCCACGCCCACCTGGCACCTGGCAATAAATAAGTGGGTTTGGGGTTGCAGTTTGGGCACTCGGTCTCTAAAAGGTTCGCCATCACTGCAATAGGGTAAAGCCCATCACTCCCAGCCAGCAGGGCATCATGGGAATCAAATAGTGGACAGAAGAAGGGAAGGGGAAGGGACGAGCAGCGAGCAATATCCCGAAGAATAAGAAGCGTAAAAGATTTTATTTTGAACACTGATGTGCAAAAATACAGGGCAAATTTTAAAACAGCAAGCAATTTTTCAGTCCCCATCGTTAGCATGTGGCTCCGTTCGAAGCAGAGACGGCGGAAGAACTTGAAACATGGGTTACTGTACGACACTCGTCCTTCCTGGCAGTTAGGCCGTTCGTTTCTTCTCTCGTCTTTTAGAGCCCCATCTCTGGTCACCTTCCAAGCAGGCCGGTGGGTGGGAAGAGGGAAGAAGAGCTCAACCTCTTTGGGAATTCCAGCAAGAGGACGAGGCCAGGCTGAGATTCGCAATCCATGAAATAGGGGAGCGTGGGGGTGTAAATTCGGTCGTCGTCTCCTCCTCCAAAGCAGTTGCGGGGTGCTTCCCCTGCAGCTTTGGGGCCTCAGAAAGTAACCTCTTCAGCCAGGACAGCCAGGGGAACGGAGCTTATCCCAAGCCCTGATCGATGCCACGGATCCGTCGAGCTAACTGGATGTCCCTGGGATGGAGAGTGACCCGCTTGGCATGGATGGTGCACAGATAGGCATCTTCCATGAGATGCACCAAAAAGGCTTCAGCTGCCTTGGGAGGGAGAAACACAAGAGACAAAGAGATGTAAGAGACACGAGAAAGAGAGAAAGGAAAGGAGAGAGAGAGAGAGAGAGAGAGAGAGAGAGAGAGAGAGGACATACAGTACATACCGTATTTTCCGGCGTATAAGATGACTTTCTAAAGCATGGAAATCGGCACCGAAGTCGGGGGTCGTCTTATACGCCGAGTCGTCTTATACGCCGAAAATTATGGTAGTTTCCGTCGTATAAGATGACTTTCTAGGCATGGAAATCGGCGCCAAAGTCGGGGGTCGTCTTATACACCAAGTCGTCCTATACGCCAGGAAATACGGTAATTATAGGTTTAATTTGGGAGCCTTTTTTTTACCCCTCCTGACAGGTTGTACTTTGTGCCCTCTCCCAAGCTCCCAAGGCGGAAAACTCTCCTAGCTTTACATTTGCTGCCTCCATGACCAAATCCATCTTCCGCCCCTGTGGTCCCCCTGATGTTCCTCCAAAGTAACAGGCAGGGACGTACGAAGCACTTGGCACCACATTGTCCTGGGCAGAGAACAGCCAGCTTGAAGTGGTTCGTGCGCAAATGGTACAGAATATGACATAGATTCAGAGGGAAGAGTTTTGGGCAGAAGGGAGAGAGGCAGGAAGAGAGACAGGGAGATAAGAGTTGCTGCTGAGGGGAAATGGGTGGATAGAATGAGGAGGATTTATATTAGATAAATATCTAATATAGATATTAGATAGCTAATATAGAGCGGAGTGGAGTGGAGTGGAGTGGAGTGGAATGGAATAGAATAGAATAGAATAGAATAGAATAGAATAAGGAATAAATGGAATGGAATGGAATAGAATGGAATAGAATAGAATAGAATAGAATAGAATAGAATAGAATAGAATAGAATAGAATAGAATAGAATAGAATAAGGAATAAATGGAATGGAATGGAATGGAATGGAATAGAATAGAATAGAATAGAATAGAATAGAATAGAATAGAATAAGGAATAAATGGAATGGAATGGAATGGAATAGAATAGAATAGAATAGAATAGAATAGAATAGAATAGAATAAGGAATAAATGGAATGGAATGGAATGGAATGGAATAGAATAGAATAGAATAGAATAGAATAGAATAGAATAGAATAGAATAGAATAAGGAATAAATAGAATGGAATGGAATAGAATAGAATAAAATAAAGAATGGAGTGGAATGGAATAGAATAAGGAATAAATAGAATGGAATGGAATGGAATAGAATAGAATAGAATAGAATAGAATAGAATAGAATAGAATAGAATAGAATAGAATAGAATAGAATAAGGAATAAATAGAATGGAATGGAATAGAATAGAATAGAATAAGGAATAAATAGAATGGAATGGAATGGAATGGAATAGAATAAGGAATAAATGGAATGGAATGGAATGGAATAGAATAGAATAAGGAATAAATAGAATGGAATGGAATAGAATAAGGAATAAATAGAATGGAATGGAATGGAATGGAATAGAATAAGGAATAAATAGAATGGAGTGGAATGGAATAGAATAGAATAAGGAATAAATAGAATGGAATGGAATGGAATAGAATAGAATAGAATAGAATAGAATAGAATAGAATAGAATAGAATAGAATAGAATAGAATAAGGAATAAATAGAATGGAGTGGAATGGAATAGAATAGAATAGAATAAGGAATAAATAGAATGGAATGGAATGGAATAGAATAGAATAGAATAGAATGGAATGGAATAGAATAGAATAGAATAGAATAGAATAGAATAGAATAGAATAGAATAGAATAGAATAGAATAGAATAGAAGGCAGCTTTATAATAAAGACAGTGTTAATACCCACAGTTGCTGCTTCTTGTCTAGACTACCTCGAAGGGGTGATATCAATCGTGCATGTCTAAAATCATATCTCTCCCCCCACCCCTTTTACCCTTACAATCCAGGAAATTAGAGAGGGTCCCCTTCTGAGACGTATGACTAGACCTTTGTCTAGTCTGCTTCTGTCTCTCGAGGACATTCTCACAGAAGCTCACAGGGAAAAGAATAAGAACGGGGAATGGGGGGGGGGATGTCACCCATTGCTGTTCCTGAGAGCAGACCTCTTCAACATTCAGCCCCGCCTGAGCACTTACCTCCTGCAAGGCAAGAAGTGCCATGGCCTGCCACATCATATCAAGCCCTCGGGTATATTCCAGGCAGATCTCCCGCACCTATGGAGGGGTGGGAAGGAAACGGGGAGAGATCACTAGGTAACCTCAGAAGAGCTTCCTTTGTTCCAGGTTGCAGTTGTTAAATTAGCAACACAGTCGTTCGGTGGATCTGGGTTTCCCCATGAACTTGGCTTGTCAGAAGGTTGCCAAAGGTGATCTCGTGACACTGCAACTCCCGCCGTAAAGGCGAGTCCGTGGTCAAGCATCCAAATTTTGATACCATGACCACGGGGGTGCTGCAACGGTCCTGAGTGTGAAAAATGGTCATGTCGCCTTTTTCAGTGCCATTGTAAGGTCAAACAGTCACTACGTGAACTGCTGTAAGTCAAGGATTACCTGTATGAGTAGCAGTTCTCTTCAGCCAGCTAATCTCTCAATGTGAACTGCCAATTCCATCATTCCCAGCCAATGTGGGACTGTGTTGAGCTTGGTTCCTGGCAGAAGGAAAGGTTTACCTTCCTCTGAGATATCTCTCTCTCTCTCTCTCTATCTATCTATCTATCTATCTATATCTATCTATCTATCTATCTATCTATCTATCTATCTATCTATCTATCTATATATATATATATATATATACTGTATACACACCTATATCTATTTATCTAGCTATCTCTATATCTCTGTATCTCTATCTATATCTATTTCTCTATCTCTGTATCTCTATCTATCTCTACGTACATCTCTATATCTCTGTATCTCTCTCTACCTCTCTCTATCTATCAATCTATCTCTATATATATCTCTATATCTCTCTCTTTATCTCTACCTATCTCTCTATCTATATCTATCAATCTATCTATATATATATCTTTATATCTCTGTATCTCTCTCTTTATCTATACCTATCTCTATCTCTATCTATCTATCTCTATCTATACTTATCTATATCTATAAATCTATCTATCTATCTATCTATCTATCTATCTATCTATATATCTATCTATCTATATATCTATCCTATCTCTCTCTCTATCTATATCTATCTATCTATCTATCTATCTATCTATCTATCTATCTATATATATATATATCTAGATAGATAGATAGATAGATAGATAGATAGATAGATAGATAGATAGATAGATAGATAGATAGATAGATAGATATTAAATTTTATATGTATTAAATTTCTCACTTAGTCTGCATGTTTAAGAATTCTTATATAAATAATATGATCAGCCAAGGTTGGTAGGTGCTGCCATCTGCTGTGATGTGTTTGCACTTGTGTGGGTTTTAAACCAAAATGCAGGTAGTCCTCGACTTACACAGTTCATTTGGTGACCATTTAATGTTATAATGATAACTGCAAAAAGCGACATATGACCGTTTTTCACACTTACGGTCATTGCAGCATCCCCAGGGCCACATAATCAAAATTCAGATGTTTGGCACCTGGCTCATATTTATGATGGTTGCAGTCTCTCTCTCTCTCTCTTTCTCTCTCTCTGTGTGTGTGTGTGTTTCCATGTGATCCCCTTTTGTGACCTGACAAACAAAGTCAATGCGGGGGGAGGGGGGGAGAGAGAGAGAGAGACAGATTCACTTAACAATTGTGTTACTATCTTAACTGTGGAAAGACAAGTCATAAAATGGGGCAAAATTCACCAAACAAATGTTTCACTTAGTAACAAAAATTCTGGGCTCAAATTGTGGCCGTAAATCAAGGAGTATGCGTATATAAAATCTTCCACTGGGAACCATAGAAGAGTTCAAGGACGTTAAATGCTATTTTAGATTTACTGAATTTATTCCACACATAAACAAACACACACAGACACATGTAAAGGTAGTCCTCAACTTATGCCCACGATTGGGACCAGAATTTCCATTGCTAAGAAAGGCGGTTGTTAAGTGAGTTCTGCCCTATTTTATGAACATTTTCAACCTGGTTGTTGAAAACAGTTTTAACAACGAATCTGGCTTCCCCATTGAATTTGCTTGTTACAGTATCTCAGGGGCTGCCCCAAAGAAGAGGGAGTCAAGCTATTCTCCAAAGTACCTGAAGGCAGGAGAAGAAGCCACACTTGGAATACTGCATCCAGTTTTGGTTACCATGATGTAAAAAAGATGTTGAGACTTTAGAAAGAGTGTAGAGAAGAGCAACAAAGATGATTAGAGGCCTGGAGGCTAAAACATATGAGGAACGGTTGCTGGAATTGGGTATGTCTAGTTTAACGAAGAGAAGGACGAGGGGGGACATGATTGCAGTGTTCCAATATCTCAGGGGCTGCCACAAAGAAGAGGGAGTCAAGCTATTCTCCAAAGCGCCTGAAGGCAGGACAAGAAGCAATGGGTGGAAATTAGTCAAAGCAACCTAGAACTAAGGAGAAGCTTCCTGACAGTTAGAACAATTAACCAGTGGAACAACTTGCCTCCAAAAGCTGTGAATGCTCCAACATTGGAAGTTTTTAAGAAGAGACTGGACAGCCATTTGTCTGAAATGGTATAGGGTTTCCTGCCTGAGCAGGGGGTTGGACTAGATGACCTCAACGTCCCTTCCAACTTTATGATGATGATGATGATGGTGATGATGATGATGCCAGCTGGGAAGGTTGCAAACGGCAATCCCCAAGATTCTGAGATATTGCAGCTGTTGTAAATACGTGCCAATTCCCAAGCCCCTGAATTTTGATCACATGACTGCGAAGATGCCATGATGGTTGTAAGGGCGAGGACCAGTCAAGTTAAAATACAAAGCACATACACGCATATATACACATATACATATATACAGAACACACAGACAGACACAGAAGGGAGGGAGTGAATCTGAGGGCGAGTCGGCAGGTAGCCTAGCTGACCGCAGGCGGATGAGGCAGAGGGACAGGATGCGTCTGTGCGTGCTCACATCCAGGCACGAAGAAAAACCAGAGGAAATAGGGCCCAGAGGGACAGATAGTGGAAGGCAAGAACAGTAGGTGGATCAACGGGGTAAGAAAGAGAAGGGGGGCAGCAGTGTAGGGGCACTGATAGTGCCGGATCTGGGCGCCCAGCCCAGAATGACCATGGGGAGACAGTCGGCAGATGCATCTACGGCAACAGCATTAGGAAGGATAGGGTCGGCAAGGATGACAGGAACTGAATTCAGGAGCGAGCTGGCAGGTAGCCCAGCTGATTGTAGACAGACAGGACGGAGGAACAAGGCAGGGCTGTGTGCACGCACACCCGCACACACCTGAATGTGATGGGAAATTGGAGGAAACAGGACTCATAAGGACATACAGTGGCAGACAAGAGCAACAGATAGACAAATGGGATAGAAAAGAGGAGACCAGCAGTGGAAGGGCATCTGTGACACTGGATCTGGATGTGCGGCCCAAAATGAGCACGGGGGAGCGACTAGAAGGCATACTAACGACAACAACGGCAGGAAGGAGACGATTGACAAGGATGGGAGGGGAAAAGGTTGTGGAATTGTTGTGATTCCTCGCCATCCAGTGGACCCGGCAGCTGAGTCAGAGGAATCAGAGGAGGAGGGTGAGGAGGGGCCTGGAGTGAGATCAGAGTCAGAGGAAGGCTCTAAGGAGCTCCAAGACTTACAGTCGGACGAGGAGCCTGGCCCCTCTACTCACGCTCAGACTGAGACACCGCTGTACTGGGAGCCTGAGTCGGACAGTGATGAATCACAGCTGGGAGATATCCAGGATGCACGAAAACGCCAACAAGAAAAGAGAGTAGGACAGAGGAATGCAATGGGGCGGCTCCAAAGGCAAAGGAGAAGGCATTAGGAAGCCACACCTTGGCTACATAATAAAAGGGAAGATGTGGGAGGTGCTGGTTGCTGAAGGCAACCATTCATGTAGAGCAGTGGTTCTTAACCTGGGTGATATCGCCCCCCAGGGGGCAATTTTGTTTTTCAGGGGGGTGACGGAACGAAAAGGGGGCGATATGGGGGCGATGGAGTGAGAAGTTTTGGGGACACTTTTGAGACTTTTTCGTACAGTGAATCACTGTATATCTGTCGTACAAAAACATCAGATCACTCGCTATTAGTGGATTGAATTGTGTTTTCAAATGTTCCTCCAGCTAGCTTCAGTACAGAACGCTGTACATATGTGAATACGCATCGCTTATCTTCATGCGCGTTGCACAGCAGCCTCTACCCATACAATGGCGCGCCATTGGCCAGAATGGGCAATGATGGAGGGGGAAGTGCTTCTTTCGAAACATCGCATGCTGAGTGGCTGTCCCCTGTGACATCAGCTGTAATGTCAATGTAACTGTTGAAATTAGGTTTATTGACAGCCACGTGTGTTTTTCTAGTGTTCCAGTGCAATCAAAAATTTAATTTGCAGGTAGTGCCTTTCATTTTGAGGACCTCTCAACATGGCTGAGAAGAGGAAGTGTCTCTTTGTATTGTACTTTTTTAGCATATGCTCCAGTTCAATATTATATTTTCTTTGTGTCTTTTTAATCCTTTTTACAGTATGCGTGATTATATATACTTTCCTCGAATCTTAATTTAGTTTCAGAGTTTTCGTCTTGAAATTCTTAGTCCCTGCATTGTGGTTTGTTCTTATGCCCTTTTTATATTTCTTTTTGGATCTTAAATTTCACTTGTAATTCGATCATTAAATGTTACTGTTTTTCTTTTTGGGCATTTCACTTTCTTGCAATTGAACTTTGTTTTCAATGGTCATTACATTTAAGTGTCTTGAATAAATAAGATAATAATGAAATACGTGTATCACGAAGTTTGGGAATAAAGTGACGGGTGGCACTAAAAATTTTCACACAGTTGAGATATGGGAAAAAGACTGGAAATAAATCATTTGCATTGATATGTCCAGATGACAATTTTAAAGAAAACAGAAAAAGTGTTTGCATAAATTGAAGAATTATTTCCTATGTTGTGACTGAGGGGTTATGTTGGGGGAGGGAGGGCGATGACAACTTCCTCCTTGGCTCAAGGGAGCGATTCGTTCAAAAAGGTTAAGAACCACTGATGTGGAGGATCGAGTTTCTGTGAACTGCGTTTGTTTGCCTTGGACATTGACTCAGGTCTGTGAATAATCAAAGGGGATCGGTTTTTTCCTGCAGTTCCAGCTTGCTTGTTTGAAAGAGGGGTTTCCCCTTGTGAGCTTAACAAGGACTCACATCGGCTGGGACAGAACAGGTAACATCACCAATGCATGAAACATTTTAGATAAATAACAGTCTCATTTTGGACACAGTGGGATCTAAGGAGCTCACGCGTGGAAGGAAAAAACAGGGTGCGTAATCAACTTACCACACGAGAAAAGGGTAGCTTGGGAATAAGTAGATTAGTACTTTTTTGATACTTTCTGATCTCCTGCATAGCTCGGAAGCCGGGCCGGTATCTCCGCCTTCTCCGACGACCTGCTGGAGAAGAGGCGAAGGGAGGTTAACAAAGGAAGGATGAACCCCAACAGGAAAAGAGATTTCAGCTCAGTAGTTCTCAACTTTATCAACTTTAAAATGTGTGGACTGGGGAATTCTGGGAGTTGAAGTCCACACATTTTAAAGTCGCAAAGACTGAGAACAGTTGCCTCAGCAGCCCAAAATTGCCAGATATTTATATGGATCAACCTTCCCTACGCTATCATAATTTCCCAGGCAGTACAGGTTTTCTCCGACTTACAACAGTCCATTTAGTGACCGTTTTCGTGTGTTTTGTGCTGAGTGGGCTGGATGAGGTTGAAAGGCATAATACTACTACTACTACTACTACTAATAATAATAATAATAATAACAACAACAACAACAACTTAACAATTGTCGATAAGAAAGACAAAAAAGTCTGGATAGTGGATGTGGCAGTGCCTGGAGACAGCAGAATAGACGAGAAAGAACTGGAGAAGATAACAAAATACAAAGACCTACAAATAAAAATAGAAAGACTGTGGCAAAAGCAAGCAAGGGTAGTACCAATAGTAATAGGCTCCTTGGGTGCAATCCCAAAACAACTGGAGCACCACTTGAACACCATTGGCATTGACAAATTCACTATTAGTCAATTGCAAAAGGCGGCCTTACTAGGAACTGCTTCCATCTGCGACGATATCTGTAATACCATCAAACATCCACATCTGCCTATCCCAGGTCCTGGGTAAGGACTCGATAGGTAGACAAAATGCCAAATCCAGTCTGAACATCTGGCTGACTGTGCGATGATCAATAATAATAATAATAATAATAATAATAATAATAATAATAATAATAATAATAATAATAATAATAAAGTTGGAAGAGATCTTGGAGGTCATCTAGTCCAACCTTCTGCTCAGGCAGGAAACCCTACACCATTTTAGACAAATGGCTAGGTTGCTTCTCTCCTTGGTCAGTTTCCATCTGTTGCTTCTTGTCCTGCCTTCAGCCACTTTGGAGAATAGCTTGACTCCCTCTTCTTTGTGGCAACCCCTGGAAGACTGCTAAGTTGCTTAAGGTTGCTGTAGCTCTTTAAGAAAACCTCATGTTGATCCTGTATAAAATCCTTTCATGTGCTGAGATGGACAGGCTTATAATGATTATGAAGGACAAGACAGAACTCGAATACTTTGAAATCTGGGACAAATTTTACCGTTGGTATGAATTAAGGAGAACTGCTCGGATCTCAAGTTAATGATAGGATTGAAATATATATATATAACTGTACATATAATTGTATATTTAATTGTATTACATAGAAGTATGAGGCTTATATAGAGGTTAAGAATGATGTATTAAGTTTTTGTACCACGAGAAACAAACTGTTAGGAATACTTACTCTGGAATGTCATGCTTGTCCATTTTTTTTTAATTGTATTATAAATAAAAAACTTTTTAATAAAAAAAGAAAACCTCATGTTCCACTCAAATGTGGTGGATTTATTCCCATTTGGGGGTGTTATCAATTGGTCCTTGAAGCTTCACAGAGGCTTCTGGACCCTCTGAAAGGCTGGGCCTTAAAACTTCCTTTAAAGCCACCCCAAATTACAATATTCCCCTGGACCATGAGATAATTATCTGTTTTTCCACCTTAGCCAACAAATCATGACATGGACAGGCAGAAAGGGTGCGTGCGTGTGTGTGTGTGTGTGTGTGTGTGCGCGCGCGCACGCACGCGCGTGTGTGTCTGTGTGGCACTGTCTGTTCCATGCCAGTCCCCAGGAAGAGTTGCCATTGTATTTTGCAATTAGCGTCCTCATTTTATGTATTTATTTATATTTATTTCTCTCCCTCCTTTATTCTTTTTTACAACTATCTCAACACAATTGTTAAGTGAATCTGGCTTCCCCATTGACTTGGCTTGTCAGAAGGTCACACAAAAGGGGATCGCGTGACCCCCCCCCGGGACACGGCAACCATCATAAATATGAGCCAGTTGCCAATCATCGGAATTTGGATCACGTGATGCTGCAATGGTCGTAAGTGTTCAAACTTCAGTTTTATACTTTCCTTTTCTCAGAAACAAAGGAATACACATTGTAATACACTAGGTTCGTTTCTCACGGGTATACAATGGAGAGTTTGCTACATACATTGTATCCAAGTGTAATGTGCATTAGGTTAGTCACATACTACTAACACAGCACTATTTCAGTAATTATGCAGACACATCATTATTCTAGTGATTGTTCATTATTCCACATTAGTTGTGACTTTGAGTGGCCACTAAGTGAACTGTTGTAAGTCGAGGACTATCTCTACTTGCATTTTGGGGTAAAAATGGATATTTTCCTCCACAGCACCATTAGGAAAATGCAGATCGCTGGAGTCTGTCAAATCTGGGTACTGTAAAACAAAGATAAGGGGGGAGGGGGGGCCTGGAAGAAATCCGTTATTTCTGTGGGTTTGTCAAGGGGCAATTTACAGAAGGAAGACGGTCTGGGGTCAGTCTCCCTTTATCAAGATTATTTTTGCCTTGCGGGGTCCCTGATTTATGGTTTGAGACAGAAGTGAAAATGGTCCTTTTTCTGTTGAGGGGTATAAGACTGTCACATAAATCAAGGTCATAAAAGAGAGAAGCTTGTAAAAAGACCTTGGTCTTCGCAATGTCCTTCCACCTAAATGTGAGGAAAGTAAAACATCACAAGTCTGGGTTGCCGGTAACGCCCAGCTCCTTCATCAAGGTCTGTCAAATACAGGTAGTCCTCAACTTACAACAGTTCATTTAGTGACCGTTGGGAAGTTATGACGGGGGTGAAAGAAGGGACTGGTGACCATTTTTCACACTTACAACCGTTACAGCAGCATGTGATCAAGATCCAGATGCTTGACAGATGGCTCACGTTTATGACCGTTGCAGTGTCCCTGGGGTCATGTGATCATCTTTTGAGAATTTCTGACGAGCGAAGCCAATGGGGGAAGCCAATTCACTTACAAACTAGGTTACTAACTGAACAACTGATTCACTTAACAGCTTTGGCAAGAAACGTTGTTAAAAAAAAAGGACAACATTCTCCAATTAACAACTATCTTACACAATGACGGAAAGTTTGGGCTCAGTTTGGGATCATAAATCGAGGATGACCTATATATCACTGTTGATAAACTGAGGGCTTCTTGCAAGGACCCACCCCAATTTGCATCTTAAGAAGACAGAACTCTTGGAATAATTCTTCCAACAGGAATCCTTTATTAAGAGAAAATGGTTGCAGGCATGCTAGACAGGACTTGGGGTTCAAGCTCTCCCATTCAAGGTTTTAAGGGGTTCCCCAGTAGTACCACCCAATCAACCCCCCTTCCAGTGATAGTTTCAAGTATCACAATTCCATCCCCTTTCTTCTTCCGTCTGGATGGAGACTTCAGATAACTACATGAAAGGCAATTACTCTTCTTTGATATGTTAACGCTTAGAGGCCACAATAAACACACATTCAGTCCTTTGAAATGTGCTGAAGGAAGTGAGGGCCATAAAGCCCCTTTGCTCTCCCCCTTTTCTCCCTCTTATGGCAGAATCCAGAGAAGGCAGAAGTGGGAGTTTCTATGTTTGATAATTAAAGATGAAATATAATTGGATTCTGACATCCGGCCCCTCTTAACAATAAGAGAGATCCACCTGAAAGAAAACACAAGTAAAAATTTTAGTTAGGCTTGTTCGTCATACTCGGTGGAAAACTTCTTCAATAGCTGCGGAGCTCTGACGTGACGTTTATGGAACCACTAATTTTGTGAGGCAGGGAGGTGTTTCAGGCAACTGGTACTGAGTTGTTCCATGATATCTACATAGAATCAAGCATCTCTTTTTATTTCGAAGTGTTGTTCCCCCTCCACCATCGATGGAGGTGGTGTGGGGGGGGATTTTTGGCGTAGGAGGGACTGAGATTTCTTTCAGCAAGCTGCAATGAAAAAAGGGTGTATTTGCCTGACGGTTTTTGGGTCAATTCTAATTTCTCTGTTAACTGGGTTTATGATTCTTTTAATTGGAAAAGGCCCTATATATTTTGGTCCAAGTTTTTTACAGGGCTGTAGGGACTTTAGGTATTTTGTAGATAAGTAACCATTTCTCCTATAATGAATGGTGTAGGCTCAACCCTTTTTTTATCGGCTTGTGCTTTGTATGCCCGCCTAGCTTCATCTAGTGATTTTCTGACTATTGGCCAGGTGTTTTGTAGGTTTTCCATCAATTCTTTCAGTGAATGGACGCTTGGTTCTTTGGGGTTAACTCTGGTGGCAATAGGGTTGAAAACTTGCCGTGTCTATTTGAAAAGAGTGTAGCCTGTGCTGGAGTGGACTGCATTTATTGTAGGCAACTTCTGCAAAAGAAGTAAGTCCGTCCAATCACTCTGTTGGAAATTTAAAAAAACATATCAAATATTGCTCAATTACGACTGGCACCGTTCCGCTTGTCCATCTCTTGAGTGTGGTGGCTAGATGTCAATCCTGAGTGGTCCCTAAGAGGGAAAAATTCCTTCCAAATGCAGACGTAAAGTGCACTCCCCTATCAGAGATGATGCGTTTGGGTGCCCCGTGCAATCTGTAAATGTGCTGGATGAAAAGTTTTGCTAAGGCTTTTGCAGTGGGAATCTTTTGGCACGGGATAAAGTGCACCTGTTTGGAAAACAAGTCCGTGACCGTCCAGACCACAGTATTCCCATTGCTTTCTGGCAATTCCACTATAAAATCCATGGCTATTTCCCTCCAGGGGTCTGAGGGACTTGCCACTGGTTGTAATAGTCCTGGCGATTTCCCTTGCAACCTCTTTGCTGATGCACAGGTTGGGCAGCTGGCAACATAACTTTCTATGTCCTTTTTTATTGATTGCCACCAAAATTGCCGTGTAATTAAGTGTAAAGTTTTTACAAATCCAAAATGCCCTGCTGGATTGTGTGTCAGGCAAAGTTGACATGAAAGTTAGTCTTGAGGTGTTGGTATATATAACTTTTTCCCCTACCCAGCAATCCGTTCTCTCATTGT